TTTTTATAGTATTTATCCGCGAATTAACGTGGATCCTATTCTAGTAAGATAGAAAGAATCAGATACATCGACTCTTTCTCTTCTTTATTGAAAATAGAATAGGTCAAAACGAATTCAATTTACGAGAATTCCAAAGAACTTGCGAATGTTAATTTTTTCTCTCCTTAATCAATGTTCGATTTTAACAACAAAATCCCAAAATTAGACTGTGCTTCTCCCCCTTATGTCTCACAATATCTAATTCAGTGGCTCTTCCTCTTCATATATATGTGGGCGTTCGTTTGAGAGATGTGATGGCCATCTATAAACTGAATTGGAAAAGTTGACAAAAGAGGCGGAAGGGTTCGGGTCTGATCGGAGATATTTTAGACCATTCTGATTCATGTTCATGAGTTCCTGTCGAAGAGAGGTTTGCTTTAGGTTCTTCCATGCATCCAGGCAGAGAACAAGGTTCGGTTTCAAGTAGTGCCTATTACGTGTTTGATGTAAGAGGTTTAAATCAGCAAAACTTTATTCTCTAGGTGAAGCTTTACTTATTGCCTTTGCAATATTTCCATGTTACTGCTGCTTTTGCAGTATTTACATCTTGCTGCAACACGAGCGAAATGCTTTGTATTATTGATTGTCTTGGTAACTTACCGAACCGAGCCATGTTCGTCCAGCCATACAGTTTACGTGAGTGAGTGATGCCTTTTTTACATTGACTGGTGAGTCTTTCGGTTTTATTAAAATTATTGTGGGATTTGAAACAAGAAGCCTTTATTATATCTTGGGACAGTTTTTTATATAATGTTTGTAGGTTTTTTAATAGAGTTTTTTTTTGTAAACTAGGTTTTTGAATAGAGTTAATACAAGTTTCTTAGAGCATGAGTAACGTTAAGTTTTTAACTGTTTCATGCCATTAAAAAATAATAAAACAGAAGAAAAGGAGGAAAGAGAAGCAGAATTCTCATAGTTTCTGTATACATGTCATTTTAGTAGTGGTTGAATTACTAAATAAAAATTAAAACATAATTATAAAATTAAAATATTAATTTTTGTTTTTAGAGACTATCAACCGTATCGACGTCAAAGATGCTCTTAGTTCAATACAAGGTAATGGTTTCTTTTCTCACTTTGATTAGCAATGCACCACTAATTATCAAGGGACTAAAATTGTAAATGGTTTGGTGTCAGATGAATAGTGTAGCTTAAAGGTTTTGTTCATCGATTCGATGTTGGAGAATTATAAAAGTTAGGGATTTAAGTCATAAATCATTTGCAGAATTAAGTTAATCTGGATTGGTGCTTATGGGTCTGCTCAAGTCTTGTTTTTTGCAGGGTATTTTTAAGCTAAATCGATCATTCTAGTAATAAACCTTGGCTTTTCTCTTTTAATGATAAGGAAATGAATCATTGTCTGTAAGATCTTTCAAGAGTCTTGAGTTTTGTCACTGCCTTGGCTCAAGGAAGTGAGTCATTAATTCTTGTAAGATCTTGAAGAGTCTGTGTTTTGTTTGAGTTAAGCACGTTAGAAGCTAGTTTTGATAAGATTAAAACTATTTCTTAGTTCTTAGGCTGTTGTGTTTTGTTTGTAAGATCTTTGAAGAGAGACTGAGTTTTGGCACTGCGTCGGCTCTTCTCTATTCAAATTACAAGGAATTGAGTCAATTTTGTAGTTACTTAAAGAGTTTGTGATGTGTTTGAGTTAAGCTGCGTTAGAAACTAGCTCTGATAAGATTAAAGGTATTTATCATCAGTTCCATGTGATAACAGTTTCTGTTCTTGTGTTGTAGCATGAAGAAATTGTACATGAGAAGGAGAACACACAGGCACATAACAATCACGAGGTTTTTTTGTTGGTTTATTTGAACTACTATCATACTAAGAACATGATGCGCTCGTGTCCAACCCCAACCAACTTTCAATGGTAAAACTCTTCACTCCAAATATGCAGGGAAAAATCTTCATTATATAAACTGCGAAAAAGTCATTTGATTCTGCAG